CTGGTTCATAGTGAACCCCATTGGGTATTCAAGGCAGTAAATCTTAACAGAAGCTTACACAGATTGGCTGGTGGGTTTGAACCATCAACCTTCTGGTTAGAAGTCATATGACTTAGGCACTGTGCTACCAGAGCTCCTTGAGATTAAGATTACGACCCACCTTATTGAGGTATAGTCTCATTTAGTTTAACTGTTAACAGAAGAAAAATCCTATTTCTAAACACGGCCACATTCACAGGAACCAGGGTTAAGACTTCAACCTATCTTTTTGGAAGGCACATTTCATTCCGTAGCATATGATATGTATGAGTAAATATTTTTAAAATATGCCTGACAGATAGTATAAACTGTTACTACTAGGTGATAGATAAAATAATGCAGGGAGCAGCAGTTGTGCACATATCCTTAATAAACTCATATTCAAACATATGCTTTCCATTTGGTTGCACATCACCAAGCTTTGTCGCATATGGTCATTTGATTTTTTTTTTCTTTTTTTTTTTAATTGTGGTTTGGGTGAACATTCATCATTTTATGCACATTTGTTTCATAACATTAGTAGCAATTTCCTCAGTGTAACAACACTTCTTTTCCTCTCTGGGTTCTTCATGTCCGTGTGTCCATTCATCCTTCTTTCTTTTCCCTTCCTACCCTCTGGTCTTTGTTTTTGGGCAAATGCTACCATTTTGGTTTCATATGGTTGATGATTCTGAGGAGAATGTTTCTCACAAGTGTTACTGTTCACTTTATAGGAATGTCAGTTGTTTGGCTGCAAGGTGATCCCCAGGGATGAGTTCAGCTCCAGAATTGAAGAGCGTCTAAGGACCATAGACTCAGGGGTTCCATCAGTCTCTACCAGACCAGTGAGTCTGGTCTTTTTTTTATAATTTTCAATTTTGTTCTACCTTTCTCTCCCATTCTGTCCAGGCCACTCTGTGGTCTCAATCAGAGTAGTTGGTAGTTGTGGTTGGGCACCATTTGTTCATCTGCTCTTAGGTCAGTGGAAGCTGTTGCTTGTATGATTTGGCTAATTGTTTCCTTGAGTCTTTGATTTTCTTTATTTTTATTTCTTGTAGATGCAGAGACACCAGTAGTTGCAGCCTAGACAGCTGCTCACTGGCTTTGAAGATCCTGGTCATTACTCACCAAAGTGTGGTGTAGAATATTTTCTTTGTGAGCTGTTATGTCAATTGACCTAGCTGTCTGCCAGGACTATGATTCATAAGGTTTTCATTGGCTAATTTTCTGAGGCATTTCTCCAGGCCTTTCTTTCTCATCTTTTAGTTAGGAAGAGCTGCTGAAACTTGTCCACTATGGATAGCTCTGCTAGTATTTGAAATACTGAAAGCATAGCTCCCAGTATCTTAATCACAATTAAGTCACCACAGTTAAATGAACTGATAGATGGGTTGTGGAAATATGGATGTCTCCCTTATGCCATTTCATTTCCACAAAAACCTAAATTAACACCTGGTTTTGCTAACTGAAAGAAATCCAAAGAGGATTTTTGCTTTACAAAAAAAGGTGAAAAGTGAAACTAATTGTTCAGCGTTGGATTTGTAGCAAACGTTAAAGAGGGAGCATGTATCCTCAGCAGTGAGAGCGGCATTGCCGAGCTCCTTCCCCAGGAACTACACACAGCATCTCAGCATCCAGCTGCCATAGCTTTGATCTGTGTTTGTGAACATTATATGTTAAAATTATTTTAGGCTTTTTTGTGTTATTTGGTATTATTTAATAGGTTATTTCTGGGATCAAGTTATGCTCAAACTTTTTCCCATATAAATGAATGGTAATTGCGTCTTCACTTTGTGCCATTTCAGCTTATGAAATGTTTCATAGGAAAGCTCTATTTTTGCCAAGTGGGGGAAGCCTGTATAAAATTGGCTGTGAATTTTTTTGTCAGTATGTTTATCATATTGAGGTGCTCCCTACTACTTCTAAGGACCTCTAGTTGGTTGAGTATTTTTATCATGAAGGAATGTTGGATTGCTAAATGTTTTTTTTCTACATCTGTTGAGATGATCATGTGGTTTTTGTACATTCTATTAGCATAACAAGTAAAATTCATTGATTTTTATCTCTGGAAACAACCTTATATTACTGGGAAAAACCACATGTGGTTTAAAATCCTTTTTATATGTTGCTAGACTACATTTGCTAATATTTTGTTGTAGATTTTCTTGGGTTTGTTTAGACAGGATATGGTCAGCAGTTTTCTTTTCTTGTGATATCTTTGGCTAGCTTTGATAACAAAGCAATTTTGATTTCATAAAATCAACTAAGAAGTATTCCTTCTCCTTCTAATTTTTGAAGAATTCATTTTTTTTTTTTCCTTAAAGTATAATAGATAGATTAAAGCAAATTTGAGACAATTAACCTCTGAAACACTGCCCGGTCCTGGCCAGCCTCAGGATCCCGGCTATACCTGAGCCCTTGTCATATATGTTAACATGTGCCTTACATGTTAACCTTATACCTTCTTTGTTAACATATAAGACTATTTAAACTTTCTCTTTCTGACTACTTTCCTTGAGTTAGTTCTTTTTATTTTCAAATGCAGTGACATAAAATTATTCTTAATATTCTTTTATCCATTACTAGTGACTGTAGGATCTGTAATGATATCTTCTTTCCCATTTATATTATTGATTATTCGTGTCAGAAATGGGTCTTCTCTCTCTTTTTTTCCCTCAGATACTTTCTCAAGGTGTCGAATATACAAATTTGAAGGTAAATAAATCAGTCATTTTTCAAAGTTTTCAAAACAGGTTTTAAGCCCATTTGCGAGAAATCAAATAAAACCTCAACATACAGGAATGCTGTCAGCAGAGTTAGAAAAGGACTATTTGATGGATTAAAAAAGAGAACAACTGTATAGATGTGTGCTCTTTGTAATCAGGTATATATGTAGTATAAGTTACCTGAATTAACAAAGTTAAAATGATTATAAAACATGTATGTGTGTGCATGCATGCTAATGTGCAAGCATCAAAGTACATATTTAAGAGAATATCCTTTGAATAAATTATGCAAATTTTACCTACTATTAACTTAGGCATGAATAAAATAATATAATTTCATTGTTGCAGTGCTATTTTTATGGGAAGATACTTTTTGCCCATTTAAAAATGCCTTCTATATCTTTATTTATATAATAATGTTTTTAATACAGTTGAATTAAACTATTTCTTCTGTGGAAATATTTGCAACTTTAAGGTAAATAGTTTTAAAACTTTGGAACAGTTCCCACCCTTCCCCACTTAACATAAACACAGAATCATAAATAAGATATAGTCTTTAAGAACATGTGTCTTTAGTTTTGACTCATATTTTTCTCATTCATTTAACAAATATTAGAATTCAACCCCAGGATAATTACACAAATGAATAAAACATGGTCCTACTATTTTGAGCATCACAATTTATTAATGTTGTAAACTGACTTGAAATTTCTCAGGGCAAATGCTAAAACCTCTCATTTATAGTTTATAAACTGATGACTACCAAATTATACAATTAGCCTTGACATTTATCCAGAACTAAACCTCTATATAAAACTGCTTTCAAAGCATAACCATTTTGAATTCCCATAGGCACTTCAAATTGTAGGTAGATGTGGTAGGCAGAAAACTTCCCAAAGATGTCCATGCCCTAATCTTTGAAACTTGTAAATATACACATTACATAGCAATAGTGACTTTACAGATGTAATCCTGGTTACAAATTTTTAACTAGGGATTTTATCTTGGGTTATTCAGGTTGATCCAAGCTAATCATATGAGTTCTTCAAATCAGGAAATATTTTCCAGCTGAAGGAGAAAGATACTGAAGAAGAAAAAGCCAGAGAGAATTGAAGTGTGTAAAGATCTTGACCCACCATTGCTGGGGGTAGTTACATCACAACCATTAGAAATGTAGGCAGACTTTAGGAGAAAAGCCTTGACAGTCAGTAAAGACATGGTGACTGAAGTCATATAACTACAAGTAATTTGAGTTAGAACAACAATCTTAATGGACTCTGAAGTAGATTCTTCCTCAGATTGTCCAGGAAAAAATGCAGGCATATAGAAGTAAATTGTATTACCTAAATACAACATACTTTTCAAACCATGTACAAGTCACACTTTTTTGTTTTTACAAAAGACATTTCCTCACCTAGAACTCTCATCATTGTTATTTATCTACATGGAAACTTCTTTTCATCCTGAAGAGTACTCTCAAGTGCCCTGTTAAGTGTATGGTCTTCCTCGATACTCCCAGAGGAATGTACTACCACTTTCTGCAACTAGATTTTTAGATATTCTATTATCGTAATCACCTTTTACAAAAATCATCTTGTTTACATGTCTGTCTCCCCATTAAAATGCTAACACAATTTTCCAACTTTGTATCTCAACCAATTGTTGAACATTTGCAACAAATAAAAACAAACCAACTGCCACTGAATCCATCACAACTCATAAAGACCTTTGAGGAGAAAGTAGAACTATCCCATAGGGTTTCCAAAGCTGTAAATCTTTGTGGAAGCAGATACCTCATCTTTTTCCAGTGGGTCAGCTTGTAAGTTTGAACTGTCAACCTTTGCCTAGCAGCTGAATGCATTGACTACTATGCCACCAGAACTCCAATATTACAGATATTACAAATAAACCAATCCCATGGCCATTGACTCAATCCCATAGTCAATTCTGAGTCATACCGACTCCATATGATTTCCAAGGTTGTAAATCTTTTGGAAGAAGACTGCTTCGTCTTTTTTCTGGTGAAGTGGCTGGTGGATTCTAACCACTGAGACTTACTGGTTAGCAGCCCAATGCCTTAGCCACAGCAGCCACCAGAGCTCCTTATTGCACTATGTAATTGTTGTCATGAAAAAACTGCTCTTATACTTATGCAAGATTTCTTCAGTTATTTTCAGTATTTATCCTTCCAGATGCCTTTTTTTCATTAAGTGTTAAAAAAAAATACATCCATAAATTGTATATTTCTTTGGAGAGCATTGACAAAGTGTAGTTTTTAATATATTCAATGCATATATTAAATTCCTAAGGAAAATATTCAGAAAATATCAGAAAGATGTTTACTTATGTTTTATCTTATATTCAAAGACATTCAACTCTGTGGGTCATAACAAATTATGGATAATATTGCATAGTATGGAAATTCCAGAATACTTAATCGTGCTCATGAGGAACCTGTATGCACATAGACCAAAAGCCTTACATTCAAACAGAAAAAAAGGGATACTCTGTGGTTTAAAATCAGGAAAGAGGTGTGTCAGTGTTGTATCCTTTCACCATACTGATTCATTCTGTATGCTGAACAAATAATCTGAAAAGCCAGACTATATGAAGAGTAATGCAGTGTCAGGATTTCAGGAAGATTCATTAACAATCTGAGATATGCAGATGACACAACAGTACTTGTTAAAAGTGAAGAAGACTTGAAGCACTTACTGATGAAGATTAAAGACTAGAGCCTTTGGTATGGATTGTATCTCAACATAAAGAAAACAAAACTCCTCACAACTGGATCAATAAACAACATCTTGATAAATGGAGAAAAGATTGAAATTGTAAGGAATTTCATTTTACTTGGATCCACAATAACACCCACAGAAACAGCAGTCAAGAAATCAAACAATGTATTTCAATGGGTGAATCTGTTTCAAAAGACCTCTTTAAAGTGTTAAAGAGCAAAGATATCACTTTGAGGACTAAGGTACTCCTGACCCAAGCCATGGTATTTTCCATCACCTCATATGCATGTGAAAGCTGGATAATGAATAAGGAAGATAAAAGAAGAATTGGTACATTTGTATTATGGTGTTGGCAAAGAATGTTGAATGCACAATGGACTGCTGGAAGAAGAAACAAATCTGTCTTGGAAGAAGTACAGGCTGAATGATCCTTAGAAGCAATGATAGTAAGACTTCTCTCTCATATGTTGGTCATATGATCAGGAGAGACCAGTGCTTAGTGAAGAATATCATGCTTGGTAAAGTTAAGGGTCAGTGAAGAAGAGGAAGACCCTCAACTAGATGGATTGACATAGTGGCTGCAACAATGGGCTCAAGAATACCAATGATTGTGAGGATGGTGCAGGACCAGTCATTGTTTTTGTTTTGTTGTACATAGGATCACTATGAGTCAGAACTGACTGTACAGCACCTAAGAGCAACAGAACAACAGGCAAATATTTTCTTCATATATATTTTCTGTATTTCTTTGTATGTGTTGTATATATTTTTCCTAATTTTATTAATTTAAATGGTTATTATTTTTAAATAAATGAAAAATCCAAACCAAAAAACAAAACTCACTGCCGTCGAGTTGGATCCAACTCACAGTGACCCCTCCTTGGGTTTCTGAGGCAGTATCACTATGGATTTTGTTCTATAATTTCTACATTCTGTGGGATCACCTTTCTTTGGAATGGGCACAAATATGGATCTCTTCCAGTCAGTTGGCCAGGTAG